TTAATTGTTATCAAGATAGCTTGTATCGATTGTCAAGCGGAGGTGTAGGATTGATCGAGGTACAGTAGTCGTAGACCATATATATATATATATAGACTGGCAAGGCGCTAATCAAGAAGTCGCAGTGAAGGAGCCTTGATGGTGTGTATTAAGACTAGGGATACGCGAATCGCAAAGCCGTGGTGACGGACTCGCTCACTGCGAAAGCGAGACAGAGTTGTAGTCTCCCCATTGTTACTCCTATTATGGAGAGAATATTCGCTCGTCAAGCTCATGTAGATAGCTCTGTCGTTATAGCTGCCTGAGATCTGTCGTTTGCCGGTAAATCATTCCGGTGGTCATCATTACGTTGTAAGGTCTCCTGACGTCTTCATTTGAACAATGCTTGCATGCGCGCAAACGCTGTCTTTTTTCCTTGTTGCGGTTCTTCCATCGCAAAACCTTCAGCTCCATTGTTTCCGTGATTATTCACGATGGCGTTCGCGGGTAGTTCGATAGGATCGCTATTGTCAACGGTTGGCTATGGGAAATCAGCTTCTCTATCCCCAACGCGATGCTTCGCTTCAATAATGGCATTCACTGCTGCCATGTACCCATCAATTCTCAACGGACGCCCACGAATGGGCGTCGCGTTAATGGATTGCGGTACCAAAGTAATCTTTAGCAAAAAATCGAAAATGTTAAAATATCGGCCCGGGGGCTTAGCGCGCTAAGCCCCTACAATTATTTAACCTACCTAATTGCGAGCAGGCTGCAGGGGCCCTGCACTTATACTTATCCTCATATATATATACTGTTGCTTGCAACACCTAACTCGATGAATTCAAAATACATGTACCCATCAATCTGCTGCGGTTGAGCAGATTCAGGTCTCCCTTCTCCTTGCAACTCCTGCGGTCCATTGTGTTTGTACTGGTCTCCATGCAGCTCCGTCGGTACATGCGCTTGTCCTGCATACGGTGGTAGCATGCTTCCATTGCTTGGAGCGCCCGGTGGTGCAGTATACTGAACCCCGACGTACGGCGCGTTTTGCTCCTGCATCCTGCGCATAGCCCTTTCGCGCCTCCGCTGTTTACTACAGATCTTCATAAAAACAACTGTGCAAAAGATGCCTGTAACAAACATAATGACAAGAATAATGACCGCTACAGTGCCTTGCAGCGAAAGATTGGTGTTGCGACGTTGGATGGGCGCCATGTTGTCTGATTGTTATTCGGGGTTGGAGATGCGGTTTTCGAGTATTAGAGACGCGAGGGGATCAAACTCGCGAAATGTCATTACGCCCGGGAGGCCTTAGGTGTACTTAAACTCATAGCAAGGATGCAACAGGTCGCCTGAAACTCATGCACGCCTGGGCACAAATCTCGTGCACCGCCATGGACGTGATGGCGGCGCAGCGCTGTTGGGGGCCAAAACGGATACGCGAGGCTGATCACTCGGTGCTGCCAAGTCAAATTCTCCGAGACCGGCAGTTACGGCATATCTCTATCCAGAAAGACGGGGCTTGATATTGAAGGGATACGAGAAGACGGTAGATCGAATGAGGTCTTACACTTGGTGATAGTACTGAAAGGTTTCCTGCTGTAGAGCCAGTCCTTGTTCTTGTGTAGCATGTATGACGTTGTTCAAGCCGAACACCGCCTCCTCCTGATGGCCCTCTAAACCGCTCTCTGGAAACGCTCAGAGAAGACGAAAGAGAATGTCCAGCTTGATGCTTATCTATCGGATCTTGAGGTTGTCGAGAGCTTGGTAGAGCTCCCGCGCTTGCGCCTCGCGGCGCTTGCATTAGCGTCGATTAAGTCGGTAGATGACGCGCAGTTGGATCCAAGACGAGATGACGTGTGACATCTGACCAGCGCGAAGAATTCAGTGAGCTTGGGAATCGAACATTGCAAACTCTGGATCTCTTCTGTCGAACGATATTCGCTATGCTGCAGCAAGGGTGAGGTGTGTCTTGATCGCCAAGCTCGGCTGTGTCTCCCCTCGACCCATGGTTTTCGCGACTACGCGCCGACTCTGCCACAGCACCCCACGCACTTCTGCCTGTGCGCCCGCCTATCCTACAATCAACCTACTACACCACGCCGTGTCATCTCAAACGCGCACGTCTCTAAGAGGAGATAATCGTGCGACACAGTCCAACAGTCTCGACATACAGTCTGAGTATGCACTCGCCGCATAGACACATACGAAGACGTCAATACTACAAGAACCAAAATGGATGAGGACCTCCGTCTCCTCGAGGTATGCAACGACGCGAGAGTAGACAATTGTGCGACGTCGCTAACGGCAATGCGACTTGCAGCAGGAATACTGCCCCACGATAGACCCCACACTTCTTTACACGATATACTCGGATTTCGCAGGAGAACCGAACGCAATCGATCTTACTAGGCAACTACTCGAACCCCTGAAGTTGACGGCCGACGCCGAAGCCCTCGATTTTGACCCCTCTGGCAGCAGCGGAGGCGCAGTTCAAGGCAGCCCAGACAAACATAGTACCGATGTCGACTCCAATGCCGATTCGTGGACGACGCAAACGGTAGCGACGGACCACTCGACGCTCTCGAACGACTTCTCTACACTCAGTGTCAACGGACGGTCGGAGAGCTCAGAAGGGTCTCTGGAGGATGGATACTACAAGGATATTGAGCAGTCGGACGTCTCCACAAAAGAATTGTTGCTTGCCGAAACCTTCCCAGGTCTGCGGCTCGCGCAGGTCACATACACACTGAAGAAGTGTGGATACGACTACGATAAAGCGACGGATGAGCTGTTGAACCAAGTCTTCTTCGATGACAGTAGAAAGAGCCCTACTGAAGAAGGCCCAGTCGCGAACGGGATTGACGCATTCTCAGAAGACCATCTCGTACCGCAAAAAGGCAAGAAAGCTAAGAACAAGAAAAAGCAGAGACTTTCCTTGGATGCGGGTACTAGCTACCTCGTCGAATCGAATGCGCCAGCCAATCGCTGGCAAAACACGAGTCGAGATGTAGACTTTATAACGTCGCGTACAGGTCTTCCAGCGAAAACGGTATCGTCGCTTTACCACGCGAACGGAACGTCCGTTTCGGCGACTGTGCTGGCCATTGTAAAGAAGGATATCGCAGCGCACAAGAAAGAGGGTGAGCCAGATGCTGCACTGGTACAGGATGCGATCACACTAAATGAGGGCTTTCCATCTATGGATCTGGAGCACGCCCTTGCCATAGTGCGACTTACTGCTCCTTCGACGACAAAAGCCCAGGAGTTAGCGAAATCCCTCACCCAACAACCTGCTAGCGAGACAGGCGGAAAGGGTGGTATCAAGCTCGACTTACGATATGCTCCTGTCGATCTATCTGACCCTTCCGAAGCCACGACACTTCCTACTTTGACCCCTTCTGTTCGACCACGCGACGCGATGTCCACAGCTGCTGCACGAAACGACGCATTCGGGAAGGCATCGGGTGCCTACCGTAAGGGCAAGTCGACGCCACTCATGAGGCAAGCCGCCGCGTACTATGCACAAGAAGGCCGCGATCTCAACGCCAATCTGAGAGCGATGAACGCAGCCGAAGCCGACGCATTCGTTTCCACACAATCTGGTCCAACATACCTCGATCTCCATGGCGTTACTGTGGCCGACGCAACGAGAATCGCCAAACAACGAACACAAGCTTGGTGGAACGGTCTGGGCGAGCGCAGAATACCCGAGTGGAGCGGTGCTGGTCGCAGAGGTGGTGGCGAGGCATACAGGATCATCACAGGTTTGGGCCGACACAGCGAGGGCGGAAGGGGAAAGCTGGGACCTGCGGTCTTGAAGACGTTAGTCAACGAAGGGTGGAAAGTAGAAGCAGAGCCTGGAGAGCTGTATGTCACAGGATTGGCAAGAAGGAGATAGTGAGCCTCGATGTCTAGGCAAGATTTTGGTGTATATCAGGGATGTATGGCGCACAGGATGTTGGAGCATGTACAGCGACAGTGCCATTGTAGAACGTATCACAGAGAAGAGATGCGATTGGATATCATCAAACACGGATTCAAGACATCCTGCCCTGAGTGTTCGCTCCTTCCGTCTTTCAAAGCCAAGGCTAGCGGCGCGCTAAGGTTTTAAGCTTCTTTGGACCCCACCCACCATGCATTACCCCCATCTTAATCACTCACTCTCAATCCAGGCCGCTCACGAAACCTCCGTGACCTGTCAAAGGCGCTCTCGTACATCCACTGTTCCAGTCGTAAGGCTACACCCACGATCTGCCTTAGTTTCAAAACCAAAACACGCGTACTTAGCCGACACTTAACGCGCCAAGCTGTCGTTTCACGGGTGCTGCGACGGAACCAGCAACACCATCACTCGGAGGACGCGTCGACGATTGACCAAGAACAGAAATCGGGATATCATATGCTGTCACGTCTATCATGGCTCACTGACAGCGCGAGGAAGGCATCGCGATATGATTTGAATTAGGAATTTACAGGGTCAAGCGCTTCCCCAGCGATTCCACGCGACGCCAAGGTACACTTTGTGCTTAAGCTACGAGTCGTCCACCGAACAAGCAATTATGTTTTGCGTATAGTATGCGGGACCAGCTACACGACCAGTGTTTCGCCTCCGCCCGTTGCAGTACCAAACGACACATGCCCGCGCGACAGCACAACAGCCTAAAGGCATGTGCGTCTTCGTGCACGCTGTGCTACAGCGTAGCTACCATGACGATCGACAAAACGTTCGAAGAAAAGGCTAGAACGCATGCACCGTTTGATACGGGACATGCTCCACCCCATCGGGCCGTTCCCCATGGAGGGCATGATATATAGAGAAGGTCTTTCCATGCAGTATTACTATTCATCAGTTCGATACTCATCCAGCTTACTCAGTCTTCTTCTCTACTTCTATTCAATCATTCTTCCTTGTATATATCGCTGCTAGTCGGCTTTTATCTTTACACGTTCTCTACTTATATCACTGCCGGGCAGCTGATCTTTAATCCTCCTTCACATCCTTTCTCTCCGCCAATATGAAGTTCGACTCCTCCATCCTTATCGCCTCCTTGGCGGCGACCGCTGTTGCGGCTCCGGCTCAGGAACCTTGCGACCACACTGCTATGGCTAAGCGATGGGTTGACACTACTGGTGGCCAGAGGATGCCTGCACACTACGTCGCTACTGTCCGCAAGCTCTCTTCCGAGAAGGTTAAGAACAAGCGTACACTTGACGCACTCCTCGGCGGCCTTGGCGGCGGAGCGGCAGGTGCTGGAGCTGGAGCTGGAGGCCTTGGTGCCCTCGGTGGACTCGGTGCTCTAGGAGGTGGTGCCGGTGGTGCTGGTGGCCTGAGTGCTCTGGCTGGTGGTGCTGGAGGTCTCGGCGCTCTCACCGGTGCTGGAGCTGGTGGAGCTGGAGCTGGAGCTGGAGCTGGAGCCGGGGGTCTCGGTGCCCTTGGTGGACTCGGTGCTCTAGGAGGTGGTGCCGGTGGCGCAGGAGGTGCAGGAGGTCTCGCTGCCCTTTTCCCTGGTCTCGCCAAGCGTCAACTTGATCAGCTCCTCGCTGGTTTGACCGGCGGCGCAGGCGGTGCAGGTGGCGCAAAGGGTGCGGCGGGTGCTGCTGGCGGTGCTGGTGGAATCGGCGACCTTCTCAGCGGTCTCGGTATTGGTGGTGGAGCGGCTGGCGGCAAAGCGGGCGGAGCTGCTGCTACTACTCCCAAGGCGCCTGCGACCAGTGCTGCAGCCGGCGCTGCGAAGGGCCAGAAGGGTGCCGGAGCAGCGGGTGCTGGTACTCTTACCGTAAGTACTCTCTCGGTTTGAAGTCCATTCCTGAAGCTGACTTATTTAGGGCGCTGCAAACAACGGTACTGCTGCGGCAGGAGGCGCTACCGCCGCTGGTACTGGCAAGGCTGGCAAGGGAGCTGGCAACTTGAACGGAGCTGCTGGTGCCGGAGCAAATGCTAACGGAGCTGCTGGCACTGGAGCCACTGCCAACGGAGCCACTGGAACTGGAGCTACCGGTACCGGAGCGACCGGTGCTGGCGCTGGCAAAGGAGCTGGTAACGGAGCAGCTGGTGCTGGAGCCACTGCTAACGGTGCTACCGGTACTGGAGCAACTGGTACCGGGGCTGGCAGGGGACAAGGCAACGGAGCTGCCAACGGTCAACAGGGAGCCGGTAAGTGACATCAAGCACTAAAGTTCTAATTGTAGACACTGACATATATCAGGCGCAGGCCGTGGTCAACAAGGTGCCGGAGCCGCCACTCCCCCAACTCCTCCTACCGCTGGTGGCGCGGGTACCGGAGCAGCTGGAGCTACTCCCCCGACTCCTCCCACTGCCGGTGGTGCCGCCCCTGGTCCTAACGGAGCGACTCCTCCCGCTCCTCTCACTTCTGGTGGCATTGCTGCTCCCCCTGCTCCCCCAGCCAATGGAGCTACTCCCCCTACACCTCCCACTGCCGGCGGCGCGGGCACTGGAGCTACTCCTCCTACCCCCCCTACCGCTGGTGGCGCAGGCATCGGAGCTACTCCTCCCACCCCTCCCACTGCCGGTGGCGCTGCCCCCGCTGCTGGTGCGAACGGTCCTCTTGCCGGTGGAAACAGCCCCACTGCTGGTGGCGCCGCAGGAGCTGGCCTTACAGGAACTGGAGCTACAGGTGCCGGTGCCGCAGGCTCAGCCGGCTCAGCTACTGGAGCTGGTGCAGCAACTGGAAACGGTGCCTCTGGCGCTCTTACTGGTGCTACCGGTGCTACCGGCGCCACTGGTTCTTCCAGCTCTACCGGTGCTTCTACTGGTGCATCTGGATCTACTAGCACATCTGGCACCAAGGGCACAGGTGCAAACAGCGCTTCCAACGGCGCCTCCGCCGCATCTGCATCTGGGAACGGAAAGGCCTCAGGTGGCAAGGGCGCTTCGTCTGGTAACGCCGACTCTGCTCTCGCTGACTCTCAGGAGGAGGACTAGAGTGCTGGGGCGACTACCTGGCACACGCAGGATGGCGATGATATAGGGATGAATGAATGAGTAGATGGTTTGCCGGTATGGCAAGCCTGGCATGGATGTGTAATGATAGGGACGAGATTGAATTTGGATTTAGATGTGGACATGACTGGGATGGAGACTTGGAGACTCACGATCATTTATCGGATAATAAAATTTATTTCACGCGAACGTCTGTGTTCTTAGCGGATAATGCGGTGACAACGTAAACTCATCGTCTTAGTCTGTCAATGGCGATCAAGAGGGCGAGCAGTTAACATCCGGATCTATTGCCTTCTCTCTTACTCTAGACATTCTACTGCCCTCAGAATGTGAGTAATCACAGCCCAAAGTAAGTAGAGAGGACAATTGCAAGAAAGATAACCAGCACTAGGACAAATCACAGGCACCACAATATATCCTCGTGCGATTCTAAAAGATGTCGGATTGCGCAAACTAACTACTGAATTCCCTACTCAGAACGCCGCTTCCCAGAAGCCGAACCTTTGCAATGCATACTAAGCCCACACAAATAGTGTCGTTAAATAAAGGCGTTGAATCTATAGCACGTATAGAGAGTGGGATAACGCGTCTGACGCCTCCCAACAAGGAAACAGACCCCTGGGTATCCATATTCTTTCCTGCCAGTCCTCCACTCACTCAATCATCATCACTACACCGCTGGGTGAACAATCTAGGAAAGATGGAAGGCGCCTTGACCTTCGCGGATGGCTACGCTGAGCTTCTCCCGTAGGATGTCGACGGTGCTGTAGTCGGGCATCTTGAGGTAGTTGACACAGGTCATGACGGAAGGGAGGTAGTCATCGGATGAGTAGGGTGGCTCGCTGGGCTTGCAAACGACCGTGAACATTGGTGTGAGAGCCTTGAAGCCTGGAGATGTGTCAGTAAACAAGGTTTGGTGAACAGTGAACAATAGAACTTACCTCCAATTGGAAGCTTGGGGCTACCGGTGATGAACTGCAAGAAGTCCCTACGCTCCTGTGCATCGAATTCGCTCATGGTGGCAAGCAAGTTGCGTACGCTCTTGCTGTCGAGGTTGTATCCGTGGTCTGCTTTGATGGAATCCATAAGAGCTGCGATGTGGTTAGTAACAGTGCTGAAGGGGTGGATGTCCTAAACTTACTCTCAAGCGACCAATCCTCATCGGTCCGACCGAATAACATGACCAACTCATCTGGGGTGAATGCCTTAAGAGCAGAGTATGGGAAGACCTCTGTGAAGCCGGCACGGAAGGCATCTGCCTGACGCTGGACCCCAGAGCCAAGGGTGAAGTCGATGACTTTCTCTACATACGTGTCGACGTTCTCGATCGTGACGGAGGTATCCGCGCCGTTCGGAATTAGCTCGATCGAACCATAACCAGGAAGTGTGAAGTCGAGAGCTAGGTCTTCCACCCTGCAATCCTGGATGACAATGTCGTTCAGGGCCGCCGCTTTTGCGGCTGCGCTCAGATTGTCATTGTCAACCTTCTTCTTTGCATCGGCAAATTGCTTGAGCAGAACCAGAGACTTGGCCAAGTCTTCATCGACCGCTTTGATCGCTCCAAGAGATGGTGCCACTGCTGCGCTGGAACCGTCGCTGATGCGGAAGAATGTCGGGTTGAAGGACACGTCGATGATGCGAGAGTCCAGCATGGAGCGAGCGACGAACTTGCCCAGAATCTTGAACAGCTCGAGACGCTTCTCGCCATTCTCAGTGCTTGCTTCTTCGGTGCTCATGGGAGCGGGGTAGAGTCCTCGCTTGCCGAAAGCATATTCGTCCTGATCGCTGGACTCATTCTCTCGCCAAAGCTTCAGCTTCTTCTTGGAGAACTCGCGGGATACGGTGGAGTAGAATTCCAGCGTCGGTCCCAAACCAGTTCCAACTTCCTCAAAGTACTCGACCTCCAGGACACTAGCCGAATGTCCGTACAGTTGCATGACTTTCATGGCGGACTCCAAGATTCGGGACCTAGAAATGCGAACCTTCTGGCGTTGAAGTCTACCTAGGAACGGCCGCTCATCCCTATGACGGCTATCCCGTGAGTCACTTGTGGGCTGCGAGTTCTGCCATCGCGTCATCGACCTAGAGTAGCCGAACGAGGTAGACTGTAGGAAGAGGTGGCGTGTCTCGAACGGGAAAAGGAATGGATAGAACCGAGCCAGATCCTCGCTCCAACTAGGAAGGCAGTTGCTAGCTACAACGAGAGGCTCTTCTAATTGACGGTTGAGTTTGGCTGTGAGCTTCGTGTTGACGAATTGCGAAAGCGGCTCAGCATTCAGTTTGACCTGTTCCTTATTTGCCAGTAGGATGTCGTCAAGGTGCGAATTGAGTCCGTGAAGTATGCTGAGCAATCGCAAAATACCAGATGTCACAGGGTGTTGATCAAGTGAGGCCGGCATACCCGAAACGTCCGAACGCGACTCTGGCGGTGGTGTCAAGGAGCTAGGCTCGCTTGGTGGAGGGCCCTGCACCCGCTTGAACTTGATGGTATGAATACCGTTCCAAACCGAGCGATGTGATCCGTCCGCTGGTTGCGCCTGGCTAAAGTGCACAGCGCGGTAGATTGTTGTCTCATTGGAGAGTGGCTGGTCGTTCACGCTGAATTCGATATGCCAGTCCTGAGGGGTCGATTGTACAGCGCCAGCATATGACAGAGCGCCCGCCCCACCTAGAGTCTGACGCATGGCAGCCGAGCTCTGTAGCAAGGCAGACAGACGCGACGTTGGAGTTCGGGTTTCGGAAGGTGGCTTCGCCAGCGGTGTGTTTTGTACGGGTGTAGCAATCCGCGTGCCGTCCTCCTCACGAGCCGTGGCTTGCCCTGTCGATGCGACTTCGACACTGACAGCCGATGGATCTGGCATATCCTCATCCAGCTCATCCTCAAGATCATCGACGATGGCATTCAAGGCGCTCTCGTCATCCATGGAATCTTGGTCGGAGAGCTGCGCCTCATCAGCACATTCAACTTGATCTTGGCTGCTGTTCGAGTGAGGCTTGGCTGGAGGTGGTGGCGGGGGTGGAGGAAGCTGCGCCTGTTGACGCCTACTCGATCGACGAGACTTCTCTCGTGTGGCGGAGCTCGGTCCTGGCTGGGATGCGTCGGTCGGAGCTGCCTTGGATCGCGAAGACTTCTTTGAAGCACGGTGTGACGAATCGGAAGGGGTGTGGGGTGGTGGCGGCGCGCGTCCTTCCGAAACAGCTTGAGCATACATGGCCTCAAATTGATCCCGAGATGGGAACTGGTCGCGAGTCTTAGCTGGGCGTGGCCTATCTGCCAGGCTGATGCGGGGTCGAAGGTAGTCGTCTAGGGCTTTGAATGTAGCAATGGCGTGAATAGACACCATGATATTGCGGTACGTCTTAGGAATTCCCGAATCGTCATCGGCGACAAGCTTCAGCCTCAATTGCTTAGCTAGCATGGAAGTTGCGCTGCCTCGGCTGTCGTACATGTTTTGATGAACAGTAATCACGTCGAAGTGTTCAGACCTGCTCAGCAGATCTTGCAGCTTATGGACCAATACGCTGAAAGGCGTAGCTGGAGACGCAGTGCTCGCGGTCTTGATCTTGCTCTGGCCGCTACCTCCCATGAAGGCTTCCAAGAAGATAGGCCTAGGGTCGACCTTCTTGTCAGATGTAGACATCGAGAACAGCTCCAAGAGCACCTCCACAATCTTCGATGTCTTGAGCTCGAAGCTTGTGATGCTTTCTAACGCATCGCCTTCAAAGTAAGATGCCAGTCTAGTGAACAAGTTCATACAGTCGCTTGTGGCACCATCAGCAACGCACTTCTTAATTTCACCAGCAAGCGATTTCAAATCCTCCAGGACCGCAGACGCCTTTTCGCGTATAGGATTATCAGATTCCTTCTCGTGAACGTCGATGAACTTCTTAGCACGGAGCGTGATGATGTCTTCGACGTCGGGCATCGGTAGTGGCTCCCGCTGGTCAGAGGACGACGAAGAGTCTGACTCATCGTCCTCGTCTCGGTTCTGGCTGCTTTCATTTGGTTCATCGTCAGGATCCACGTCCTCGCCATCGTCAGACTGCATTTCCACGTCGACACCGTCACTCGACTGGGCAGCTTCCCGCTCAGCGTCTTGTTCGGCAGTAGAGACGGTGCTAGCACCTGAGTCAGCTGCAGCCTCTGTCTCTACCGCTGACTTGGGATCCTTGGGCTTGGTCTCCAACGATTTGCAGGGACGGTTCGCCAGTTGTGAGATCTCGGATATAACACCTTCGCGATAGAATTGGTACCGGTAGATGGACTCCAGCCGCTTAAGCAATAGCTCGGCAGCTTGTAACGCGTATGTGACCAAAGATGGGTGGTCCTGCTGCGTAAAGATCGATGCTAGATGCGAAGCATAGGGTACCGGCCGTAGAGCTTCCTCTAGGATATCGGTGTCCAGATTTGACAACATCTTGAGATGAGCGGTAAGCACTTTCTGGCGTACGCTGAGGTTGACAGTACTTGAGTAAGCGTCTGTCAGAGTAGGCAGAAGGATTACGGCGAAGCGCTTAACCTCTGCCTTGCAATCTTCCAACAGCTCGACGCGTTTCTCATTGGTGGTCTTCTTGTTAGTGGAAGAGAGTGGAAGAAGGTCGTCGCCTGGGTAGCCGGCATCGAAGAGATCGTCAAGGTACATCAGGCCCTCGGTTGGGACATCGGGCAGCAGTTCGCAGATAACATTCAACGTCTCGAACACCTGATCTTTGGGCCGGTGAATCAAGGCTTGCATGATGACGACAGAGTCAATTTTAGCTGCCACGTCCTCGGTGCCACTAGGAGGTGAAACACCAGTTAGGATCTGGTACAGAGTATCGACCACGTTCATCTTCAACAGCTCAGCTGACAGACGCGGGCTTGCCTTGGCGGTGTACGCCAGAACCTGCAGGAACATAGTGTGGATGCTAGGTCCAATAAGATTCGTGCTGCCCGGGAGCAAAAGTCGCAGGATAGCTTTGAGAAGACCTGGGCTGACCAG